TGTGACCCCATGGACAGAGGAGCCTGGCAGGATACAGTCCATGGGATTCTCCAGGCAAGAATACTTAAGTGGGTTGCCATTTCCTTCTCCATTATAAGTTATAGGTCCTTGTTTTCTATTATACATTATTATAAAATATAGTCCTTATTATTTATCTCTTTAATATATAGTAGTGTGTATCTGTTAATCCCAAACTGCTAATTTATCCCTTCCTCTCCCCTTCCCCCTTTGGTAACCATAAATTTGTTTTCTATATCTGTGAGTCTGTTGCTGTTTTATAAATAAATTCATTTGTATCATTTTTTTAGATTCCACATATGAGTGATATCATATGATATTTGTCTTTCTCTGACTTACTTCTGACTTACTTCACTCAGTATGATAATCTTTAGGTCCATTCATGTTGCTGCAAATGGCATTATTTCATTCTCTTTTACGACTAATACTGCATTGTGCCATATATCATATACTTATGCATTCATCTGTTGATGGACACTTAAGTTGCTTCCATGTCTTAGCTACTGTAAATAATGCTACTATGAACACTGGGATGCATAGATCTTTTTGAATCAGAGTTTTTGTCTTCTCTGAATATATGCCTAAGAGTGGGACTGCTGGATATATTGCAACTTTATTTTTAGTTTTTTAAGGAATCTCCATGCTGTTCTCCATAGTGGCTCCACCAATTTACATTCCCATCAACAGTGTAGGAGGGCTCCCTTTTCTCCACACCTCCTCTAGCGTTTATTATCTGTAGACTTTTTGGCGATGTCCACTCTGACTGGTGTCACACTGGTGATACCTCATTGTAGTTCTGATTTACATTTCTCTGATAATTAGCAATGTGAGGCATCTTTTCAATCAAGCCTGTTGGCCATCTGAATATCTTCTTTGGAGAAATGTCTGTTTAAGTCTTCAGCCCGTTTTTTGATGGGTTGTTTGGAAAAACTACCTCTTTCAGCAAATTTCTTACACAAAAAGTGTACTATGTGCTTACTTAAGAGTTTCACTCTCGTGGAGAATTCTGTTCTTGAACTGTGGGGAAATCCTCTTCCGCCACTGACCAATGGTAGGAATGTTGGGAAATGGCTCTTTGGGGTTAACAGAATTAATACAAAGGATATGTGAGTCCTCCTGAAAGCTAAAATTATCTCTGGAATATATAAATTCATAATTTGGAAATACACATACCTAAATGTATATAGAGAAAGAGCTAACATTTGGATATTTAAAAATGAGGGAGAACGCAAATATAAAGCATTATTAAGTTTTTGCTATTAATTATACCTTATGTGAGTAGCCCTGATGTGAGTAGATGTCAAAGGCAACCAGGTTTCAGAACTCCAACTGGGATTAAGATGATCAGCCACAGTGTCCTATTCTGCAAAATTAACAGGTAACAAGAGAATTTGCTTTTTAAAAGACATTTTGAGCTCTTCCTACCATATTTTTTTAAATTGTGAAATATTTAATTATATATCTGGTTCAATCATGAATTTATTGTAGATGTGCGATGGCTGGGAGCTCGGTTCGAGTCAAGGAAGCTTTTTTTATTTTTCAGACATCTCTTATAAAGTTCTTCTATTTAAAGATGAAATCTAATATAGAGTTCTCACTCTTTGGCCCTATGTCTACCTCAAAAAGCAACGAAGAATGAACCATCTTTTACAAAACAGCCCTTCAAAGACAGGAAGACCGTCCTAGGGCCTCTCCAACGGTGTCCTTTGCTCCCGTGTAACCTGGTCTCCGACTTCCCTCCTCCACCTCCTTCCAAGTCAGCACTTCATTTCATCAGTACTATGCTTAAAATAAGGCAAACTCAACTCCTGGTATGCCCTGAGGCGTACAAAATAGCAAGGAACTATAACTTTCTGTGATCTGAAAGCTGAACGTCCATTTAGGTAGGTTAAAGCAGCCACTCAACTGCTGTTTTAAGAATACCAATCTTAACATTTCTATCAGAGAGAAGACTAATCTAATTCAACAGAAAAAAAAGTTAAGCTTACATTTACAACAGGTTAAAGCATTCACTATTTTGATTTTTAAAAAACCCACCATCTTATATGAATATAAATAATGGATTAACGAACTTTTGCACAACAGAAGCTAACCTGATTTTAATCTTTACTACCTTTGCAGTAAGGAGCAGGGTAACTTCCTGCTGTAGGAAGCCTTTGGGGAATGTAATTTTCACTGCCTTGTGATGTTAATTTGAGATAATTATCATAAGCGGGCTAAAAAAAGTTGTGCATATTATTTGTCTCTCTGAGAGCCTTCTGCTGTTGGCTAGGCAGGATACCAGAGAAGCCCTGGGAGAAAAATATTTAGAATTTAGATATTTCTTTAATAGCCGTGGATCCCAGAGTTTCAAAACTTTTAATGTTTCCCAGCTTTGGCTGGGAAAACCATTCTCGACAAAGGCTTGAGAGGCCAGATCCAAGAGCTCTCTCCACTCGGTATTTTTAAGGCACCTCCATTGTCAACTTTTCCAAAGCAGGACGGGTAAGAATAAAGCCGTTTCTCCAGACCATTTGGCTATTTTGGAATAGTTTTGTCACATATGGAGGGAAACTAAGTGTGTTTTTTCATTTGATACCTCCAGGACCATTATAAATTTAGGTTATTTGCTGAGAAAAAGGAAGCCCTGGAGTCCCTGGTTCAGTGCTCTCATCAGACCACCCACTAGGAGGCCTTGAGCCATTTCCAGGAGTGTTTTCACCTGTTGGACTGGCCTCCCTTTTCAAGGCCAAAATCAGAACAGAAGACCTGAAAGTGCTGGAAGGTAACTAAGGACTAGCTGTTTTTCCAGTCTCTGGCCTCCATGCCATGGCCTTTAGGCAGGGGGGTCTTCTACAAAGCACCAGCCACCAAGTGGGAGCCTGCACAAAGAGAAGGGAAGTTTTGCTCAAGAGTCTGGAAACATTAGAATGTGCGGAGCAGTGATTGCAGAAACTGTTTGCCAGCTTTAAAGAGGAAGCCTGTGGCTGGTAGATATGGAAACTCAGGTGCAAACTTTCTAGGGGATACTTTGGCATAGTAAAAGTGTGCATGCCCTTCTGAACCAGGAATTTCACTTTTAGGAGTTTGTCAGAAGGAAAAAAAACCCTGATGTCCACAGAGGTTGGGCTGAAAGAATGTCTTAGTGGAAATAATATTTTTTATTATAATTTCAAAATAGGAAAATGTTCCATTTCTGAAGGAACAGTTTAGTTCTGAATTGTCTCATACTTAACAAGGACAACAGCAGACCTGTCAACTATGTAGTTGGTGAAGCCAGGAGAAAAATGCAACCTCCAAAGTGTTTTTAAAGACCTGCCAGAGGTGAAAACGAGCAGGAAACCTAGTGAAAACCTTGAGTAAAGAGGGGATGAATAGCCTCAGAGAGCTCAGAAATCTCAGCAATGATTCCCTTCTGGAAGGAGAGGACTCTACTATGAAAAGGAACTATGAAAACAAGGTCTAAATTGAAAAAAGCAGAATTGCTGGGGAAAATGAAAAAGCCTGGGAAACAACGGTAAAAAAAAAATACAAAAACCTTTAAAATGCGGGTCCAATTTTCCTAGAGACAAAGGCTGTAAAGAAATCTGAGAAACAGAAGCTCTCCTGAACCAAGCTCTGAAATCCAGGGGACAGGTGATTTCTCTAAGGGAACATATCAGAAGTTCATCACTGGCAACAGAGAGCTCCACCAGCCCCACATTTCAACCACTTCTCCAGGGCAACAAGCACTACTATCAACAGTGGACCCAAACCTGCAAGACTCTCAAAGAAAGGAAAGTATAGGCCAAGAGTTCTGTCCAGCCAAACTGATCTTCAAGTACACAGCCTGGAGACAAACATTTAAAAATCTGTAAGAAATCAGAGAATACTATTCTCACGAGCCTTTTCAGAGGCACCTGCTAGAACCATGGGACAGCAGTTGCAGCACTCCTGAGCAAGCCTGAGGAAATCAGGATAAAAGGAACTTCCTTGAACATTGGCTGTATTAAATTGTAGAAATAAGAGTAAAACAAATACAGAGATTAGGGTGACAGATCAGAATGCAGATGTTACATGCCTTACTTAATACTGTAGACATTTCTCATTGTTAATAAAAAATTGAAGAAAGAGAAAATAGGAGTAAGAATAAGTTTACTGATCACCTCAAATTATTTGATTCAAAGGATAGTATTTAAAGTTTCCAAATCAAGTAGAAGCTTAATCATATTCAACATAAACACTAATTCTATTGACTGAATGGCAGAGGAGGCTTGAGGCAGAGAGGGTGAAATTAAAAGGTAATTTTATTGTTGCTCATAGTAGAGAATCAAGATACAGTCCCCAGAAAGAGTGGATCCAGGGTATTTTACAAAGGTAACTTAGAGCAAAAATACAAACCTTCCTAAGTATCAAAACTACATTAAGAAAAAGGGCAAATACAAAAATACATAATGAAAACACAACATAAAGTAATATGACAGAATTGAAACCAAATATATCTGTCAATTCAATAAATATAAGTGGGTTTAACTCATCTATTTTTAGAATGGTTTTCAAAATAGATTGCAAAGTCTAATCCAACTCGAGGCTATATACATCTACGACAAAATGACTCAGAAAGGTTAAAATGAAAGGATGGGCAAAGAAAAGCATACCAGAAAAATAAAAACATTAAAAATCTTAATATCTGACAACACAAAATTCAGGACAAAAAGCTTCAAACAAGATAAAGATAAGTACGTTTAAATGCCAAAGGCTATGAAATTCATCATGAACATTTAAACTATGAATATGTACTAAATAACACAGCAGGAACTTTCACATAATACAATATAGAGATGCAAGGACATCTAGACAAAGACACCTTGTGGCAGGGCCCAGCGGTAAGGCCAGGTAAGAACACAGGATTGGAGATGTACGAAACACAGCTAATACTCAATGCATAATCATTGGTCTATTGCACACAATTAACACACAACACAGTTCAGTCAAAGTAGTGAAAATAGAAAAGGGTAACGAACCACTCCAAGGGGAAATCCCCAGAAGGAGGCATCTCAGCAGTGATCCCCAATCACTCAACAGGTCTCACAAGCCTGAGTGAGCAGTCACCCTCTACTCCAACAGTCTCTGGCAGTTTTGGTATGGAACAGCTCTCAGTAGACTAGAATCCGGTCCTCCAGCAAAGAGTTTTCAAGTCACCTGACTCAATGACCTTTAAAAAAAAAAAATCTATTTATTTGGCTATGTTAAGTCTTAAGTTGCAGCACATGGGACCTTTCATTATGGTGCACAGACTCTCTAGTTGTGGCGTGCGAGCTTAGCTGCTCCACAGCAGATGTGATCTAAGTTCTCTGACCAGGATCGAACCTGCATCCCCTGCTTAGACAATCTATAGCCTTATTTTAAGGAGTCCACCAGTAGGGTATAATGATTACACCACAGGGAGTCTTATCTCCATCCAGTGTTCCTTCTGTTCCAATGAAGTCTTTCTGCAGATTACCAAACAAAATTCTTATCTAAAGTAACACTCATAATTTCTAACACTAAGACACTCACAATTCTACATCAGACATTTCAAAACAACTAATATGGAAGTTCACATTGGCCACTGTGACTCCATTTTGAACTACTTAAAACAGCTTAAATTCTATCAGCAGTAAAAGAATTGAAGTATTCTAGAGTATTTTCTAAAGTATCTTCTAGAATTCTCTTAAAAGTTTCTAGGCCCACAATTAAAATAATTGGTGAAGAATATTCTAGAAAACAATCTTAGAAGGAGGAGAGAGGAGAGGCAGAAAGAGTCAGAAGAGGAAGAAAGAGAAGAAAGAAAAGGGAAAAACAGGAGAAGAGAAAAGAATTTTTAAATAAAAGAAAATGTAGTGGTTTAAAATCCATTCACAAGTTCTCTGACACTCTATTTAAAAGGTGGAGCCTAAAATAATCTTGCCCTCAAACATGTAGTGGATTTAATAATTTACTTCTAAGTTAGAGCGATGGTATGGAAGCTTTGAGTCCGTGTCATACAAGATATTGCCGCTCTCCCATACTCCTTCTTGGTTTGCTTGCTCTGAAGGAAGGCCTCCACCAGGTGAGGACACACGAGCAGCCCTGCAGAGTCCGTGTCAGGACAAATGGAGCCCTGAGACAGGCGTGTGACGGAGCCATCTTAGAGGTGGCTCCTGTAGTCCTACCCAAGCCTTCACAGAACTAAAGCACTAACCAGCAAATGTACTGAAACCTCATCAGAGACCCTGAGCCAGAACCACCCAGTTAAACTATGCCGAAATTCCTAATTCACAGAAACTGTGAGACAAGAGACAGTTATTGTTTTAAGGCACTAGGTTTTGGGGTAATTTATATTCAGCCAAACAATGAACATAGAAGGAAAATAAAAATTTTAAATTTGAGAAAAAGTGAGCTGCCACTAACAGACTAAAGGAAATGTTAACAAATTTTTCAGGTAAAAAAAAAGTGAAACAAGTAGAAAGTAAGAAGTAGAGAACGAATGAAGAATAACAAGTGGCAAATACGTGTTTAAATCTAATGTTTCAACAGATTTTAAAATATACCATAACAATAAGACCTAAATAAATAGAGATATACCATGTTTATGAATTGGAAGACTCGATATTGCTAAGATGTTAATTCTCCCCCATTGATCCATAGATTCAATGCAATCCCAATTAAAATCCCAACAGCTTTGTTTTTCTAAAAATTGAGAAACTGATGCTAAATTTTTTTTTTTTTTTTAGTTCTACCACTTTATTGCTACCAACCCATCTCCCTCCACCCTCGTGCACACATGCTCAGTCATGTAACCCCATGGACTGCAGCCTGCCAGGCTCCTCTGTCCATGGACTTTTCCAGGCAAGAATACTGGAGTGGGCTGCCATTTCCTTCTCCCCTATCTCTACTTAATAGACATTTTTGTGTTTCAGATTTAGCTGTTTATGTATCCTTTTTTGGAGCTCATTCTGGCTTGATTTATCTTTCACCTGCCCAGCTTCCCACCAGTATCGCCTAACCCTTTCGTCCATCTATAATTCTACCCCTACTACCCTGTAATCCGTGGAGTATCTACAGATCAAAACTGAGCAATTAAAATAAGAGGCAGATCCCTGCTAAAAGGGAATATGTGTATTTCACAAAGTTTTTATTGCCTTTGCAATGAACTAAACTAAATCTGAAAATTTCATCTCACAAAAACATTAAAAGTGATGCATGTAATGCATGTGTCTGTGCATGTGAGGCTATGACTGAATGCATATATGTGTGTATTCCTAAATATGTCTTGTGTGAGCATGCAAGTGTGTGTATGTATATCTGTGAGTTTCCCATAAAGAGGCAACAAAGAGGAAAATCAGTAAATCAGACCATTTTTTATTTACTTGGTATTAAATGACTGGTTACTTATAAATATGTNATCTTCTGCTTCTGTTAGGTCCATACCATTTCTGTCCTCTATTGAACCCATCTTTGCATGAAATGTTCCCTTGGTATCTCTAATTTTCTTGAAGAGATCTCTAGTCTTTCCCATTCTAGTCATTCCCATTAGAGTTAGACACTAATTGCCCTTTAGTTCCAGATTGTCTTTTCAAGGATATTTGTCCATGAAGCAGTCTAGGGATAGTGTCTATCTTCAAAATAAAGGGTCAGCTTGTTTACTGTCCAGATAAAAAAGATAATGTACTTCTCTAGGGCAAATGTTGAGCAGGTTTGCTTGCAGCCTTTTATGAAAGATTGTGTGTGTGCATTCAGTCATGTCTGACTCTTTGCGACCCCACGCACTGTAGCCCACTGGGCTCCTCTGTCCATGGGATTCTCCAGGCAAGAATACTGGAGTGGGTTGCCATTTCCTTCTCCATGATGCTAAAATTTGTATTGAAAAGCAATAGACTAAAATAGCCAAAACAATTTTGTGAAAGAACACAGCTGAATAATTCAAATGACATGATCTAAAGACTTACCATAAAGCTACAGCAGGAGTTGCCGAAAAATGATTTTCATGTTTTTAAACAATTGAAAAAAGAAACAAAGGAAAGTATCTAACAGGAATTCTATAATAGCCCACCCTTTACAGAAAAAGCTTGCTCTTTGAGCTACAGTAATCAAGACACTATTGTATTGGTAAAAAGATATACACACAGATCAATGGAGCAGAACAGACTCCAGAAATAGATTCACACATAGATGGTCAATTAATTCTTGACAAAGATATTAAAGTACAATAATGAATGAAAAAAAGATAGTCTTTTTCAACAAATTGAACTGGACCAATTAGACGACCACATGCAAAGAAAGAAAAAGAAAAAACAACCTATGCTGGGAAACAATTTTCCATGGGTGTCTTATATATCTGCACATCTTAAGAGTCAGACACTCAGTTCGCTTCAGTCGCTCAGTCGTGTCTAACTCTTTGTGACCCCATGAATTGCAGCACGCCAGGCCTCCCTGTCCATCACCATCTCCCGGAGTCTGCTCAAACTCATGCCCATCGAGTCGGTGATGCCATCCAGCCATCTCATCCTCTGTCGCCCCCTTCTCTTCCTGCCCCCAATCCCTCCCAGCATCAGGGTCTTTTCCAATGAGTCAACTCTTCACATGAGGTGGCCAAAGTATT